GGGTCCAGGTCGCGCAGGGGCTGGGGCAGGGTCCGGCCGGAAGTTAGCCAGGTCGGGGCTGCAGCCCAGGGGGATCTGGGAGCAGCGCCTCCCGACCCTGCCCAGCCACAGGGGTCACTGGATCTTTCCGGAGCTCGCAGGGGCGCGAGGCCTCCCTCGCTCTCTCTGGTCCAGCTATGGGGAACGCCGAGGGCCGGTGAGGCTGGCTGCGGGCGGCGGGGCGCGGGCCGTTGCGACGTCCCCTCCTGCTCCTTATTTTTAGCCGGGTGCAGCGTCTGAGCGGCTGGTCCCTCCCCCCAGGACAGGGGAGGAAATGCAGGCCACTCCCTCCGGGCCTAGGCTGTTGCTCCCGGCAACCGGGCCAAACAGGCCGCGCGCGGCTTCCATATCTGGCGTCTGAGGTGGCCGGGGAGGATGACTCAGTGGGCGGGTCAGCGCCTGGCCCTGTGCCCATCCCGTCCCGCTGCCACTGCCGTCTGTCTTCCGTAAAGCAGCCCGGGGACCCCAGCTGCGCCCCCCACCCCACCCCACCCCGCTTCTCACTCACCTTGTTCTTGGCGGCTCTGCCCCCCTCCCCCACGCCCCTCTCTGAGCCAGGATTGCCCATTGGGATGAGTTAAACCGGATACCCAGCCCTTCTGGCCCCTGGAGGCAGCGGGGGATGCCACCGCTCCTTTGCTCACGCAGAGCACTCTCGTGACACCAGGCCTGGAACAGGACACAGGCAGGCAGGTCCCCCTGGCCTTGAGAGCACTGGACAACTTCCCATCCCCTGCCCTGGTATTGTGGACATGAGTCACCCGAGGAGCCCAGGTTCCTATCCCTTTCCAGCTCCCCTGGTCGGCCCCACCCAGGCCTCCTACCAACCCAGCACAAACCCAGCTTTCCCACTACCACGCCCAGTGGGCTGGCGCTGGACCTCAGCGGAGGGAGCTGCAGAGGCCTAGTCCTGGAGCTGCAGAGGCCTAGTCCTGTCCCGGTGTCTGGCCTGCCCAGGCGGAGGCCCCTCCTCTCCTAGGAAGGAACTAGGATTTGGTAGAGGACAGCCATGGAACTCAAAATTTTTTTCTCTCTTTTGTTAATCTGTTTTAAATAACATCACATAATTCTGTTACGGTGTTATTTAAACATGTAAATTGTGTTGTTATCCATAAAATATGCTTTCTTTTTCTTTTTTTTTCTTTTTTTCTTTCTTTTTGAGACAGGGTTTTTCTGTGTAGCCCTGGCTGTCCTGGAACTCAGAGATCCACCTGCCTCTCTCTTCCTCCAAGTGAGTGCTTGTATTAACGGTGTGCTCCACCACCCAGTTCTTCTCCCGCCACCCCCACCCCCACCCCCACCTAGGGGAATAGTACCTCACTCTGTAGTCCTGGCCGGCCTGGAACTCTCTAGGTGTACCAAGATGGCCTTGTGGCCTTGAACTCACTGCAATCCCGGCCTCTGATTCCCAAGTGCTGTGAACTAAAGTTGTATACCACCATGCCAGGCTTAAAACATGGCTTTAAAAGGAAAAAAAAAATTGTTTTAATTCAAAAAAGAGAGAGGGAGATATTAGCTGAGCCGTGATGGCACACGAATCCCAGCCTTTGGAGGCAGACAGATCTCTGAGTTCGAGGCCAGCCTTGTCTCTAGAGTGAGCTCCAGGACAGCCAGAGCTACATGGAGAAACCCTGTCTCAAAAAAATACAAAAGACGCCAGTCGGTGGTGGCGCACGCCTTTAATCCTAGCACTCGGGAGGCAGAGCCAGGCGTGAGTTCGAGGCCAGCCTGGGCTACCAAGTGAGTTCCAGGAAAGGCGCAAAGCTACACAGAGAAGCCCTGTCTCGAAAAACCAAAAAAAAAAAAAAAAAAAAGAGATTAGAGAAGGGTGTGGGTTCTGGCCCCTTCCCCCCACACTTCTTAGGGTGTGCTGTGGTTCTCCTTCTTCATCTGCTGAGCTCCAAGGGTCTGAGTCATGAGCTCATGGGTGATAGTGGTTTTGCTTCTTCCCCCAGACGGGGCTCCCCATGCCTGACAAAGAAAACCACAAAAGCTCTTCCCTGATTCCATCTGCTTGAGGTTCCCTCAGCTACAGGGTGTGTCTTAGTCCTTTGATGGAGTCTCTCCGGTGCTGGGTAAGCGCTGGAGGGAAAGGGAAATAGTCCCTTGGTTTCATGGAAGGCATGTGCTGGATCGGTACAGAGAGGAACTCAAACCCTGCTTTCTGCAGGGCCCTGGCTGGGGCTCCGGCTCTCGCTGCCTTCCTTTTCTGTAATGGCGCCCGTCTCCGAGGGCAGCCGTGAAGATTAGCCGAGTTACTACTGTCATGGTTAGAGCAGTACCCGGCATACAGTAAGGTCACTAATGTATTTGCTGCCTCAGTCCTGTGCTACCCAACAGTGTTTCTGTCGGTGGCGGGCCACATATGATGAGGGTCCCCAAAACTATCATCTTGTGTGAGCACACCGTGATATTTGCATAATGATGAAACTAATAACTCCTTACAACACAACCCATTGTTATATGACACATGGCTATATTATCCTAAAAACCCAACCCTGTGCCTATCAGACCGTACACTTCTGGAGGATGGGACCATTGCACCACGTCCCAGTACAGCCAAGGACAAGGGGAACCCTGGGAATTCCCCCTCTAGTGTCCAAGGAGGCTGGACTAGGAAGTGGCCTTGAGGAATGTTCAGGAAGCATCCTCAGGCCCATCAGGGATGGATTTGTTGAGTGGGATCTGCTTTCTTCCCTCTCCTGGCTTATTTCTTCATGCTCTCTACACCTGTGCCTTAGGAGGGCCGTGAGGTAGAGGGAGAAAGTCTGAGCTCAGCAAGCATGGATTAGAACGCTGCCCCTGCAGCTGGCTGCCATCTACCCTGCGCCTCAGTCTCCTCATCTCTGAAAGGAGGAGGCTGGGTGACTCTGAGCTGGTTCTCTAAACTCTGAGTTCCCCTACATCACCAGCAGCAGCCCGTCATGTGGCCTTCAGGGCGGCGAGGCCCCTCTGGGAAGCCCCCGCCAGCCTTGGAGCTGGCTCAGGGAGCTCGGATTCTCTGTCTGCAGCCTGCTTCGCCTGTGGCTTTTCTTCATTTTCTTTCCTCCCCTGCAGCTGCCTCAGCTTCGGAAAAGTTCTGAAGTCATGGAAAGTTGGGGCTGTGCTTCGCGCCAGGGCTGGGCCGGATGGCAGCCAAAACCTGAGCTGGGTTTTGACTTTATTTTTAGCTTTTCGTGCTAAGATGGAGGAGGAGAAATAGTCTCTGGTTCTGGAAGGGCCTCTGCAGGAGAAAGACACTATTGCATTAAATAATTAGTTTGGCATTGTGGATGGAGCCAGCAGCACACTGCCTGGGGGACTTCATACTCTTCCCAGACCCTCTTTCCCCTCCCAGACCAGTAGAGCCTAGGTGGAGGGCGTGACTCTGAAATGTCCTGCGTGGCTCCTCCTTCTGCAGCGTCCCCAGGTCTAGCCTTTTCTCTCTGGCTCCAGGGTGAACTGCTGGGTCTGTTATTGCTTAGCAATTTTGTGGCAGGAGAGAAATGTTGGCAGGGCTGCTCTTCCTGGAGTGGGTCCCCAGCCACATTTGCCCATCTTTTTCCTTTTTAATCTTGGGGGATAGATGACGCCATGCGAATGAGTGCTGGCCTAGTGGAGGCAGGGGTGGAGGTCAAGGAGGTTCTCCTTTCACCTGGTTTGAAACATGGTTTCTTGTTTGCTACTGCATAATCAGGGTAACTGAGCTGCAAGCTTCCAGGGGTGTTCTCCCAGCCTCCCATCTCCCCACGGAAATGCTGGGGTTCCATACTCGCTTTAAGTGGCTGACATCCAAACAGTTCCTCAGCCCCTGGTGTTCCTGCTGCTGTGGCAGGCTCCAGCTGAGAACTGATGCTTCAGATGGCTGCCAGCCACAGACCCTTGGGTCTTCTCTGGGTTTACTGCTCCCCTCCCTCTTTGGTACTTGGGAAGGGATTATGTCTGGAAAGTTCTCAGGCTTTCCAGAGATTTTCAGGAAATTAGGGCCTCTCTGCTTCTCTCGCTCACTAGCAGAAAGAATCAGGAATGTGGGGGAGGCAGAGACAGCCCCGGGTGCTAGAGTCTTGCTAAAGCTAGGATGTAGCTCCAGACTGGAACCCCATGGACCTGGGATCCAAGGATCCACATCTGGAGTGAGAAGGGCTTAGCCTTCTGTCAGGGCTCTGATGGAGCAGGCTAGCCCTCTGCCCTGCCAGGATCAGGGGTCTTAAGATTAAGTCCCAAGAAAGGAAAAGTCTAATACTGTGCCTCCTTGTCCTTGTCCCTGGCTTCCCTAGCCAGACTTTCTTTTCTCTTTTTTTTT